GAACAGCCGCTTGCAGCCGACCCGAGGCGGGGCGCTCGATGACTGTTTCATCGACGTCCCCGAGGACGCCGCCAGCGTCACCGAGGGTGGTTATCCGTCGGCCCTGTCGGCGATGCCCGAAGAGGCCGACGGCGACTTCTGCGGCCGCGTCAGATAGGTGATGTCGGCAGCTCGTCAGGAGGTCGGGCGCTGGATTCGGGAGCTACAGGAGCTCGGGGGCCCCGACAGCCAGCTGATGATCTGCGCTGCTGTCGAGCGCGCGGCCGCCGGCGCAGGCTGCATGCCGCGCGAGTGGCCCCGACGACTGGGAACTCAGCGCCAATGTCGGCAGATCCACGCGCAGCTCCCCTACGACCTAGGCGACGCCACTTCGGGCGACTACGCCAAGCCTGAGGAGGACAGAAGGGGAAACACACGTGGAGTTATACTTGGAACCAGGATTGCGAGAAGCATGTCTGAGCTGCCGCGAGGGCAACTGCGTTGCCGGCGGGCGCGCCGCGGCCGCGCCTGCGGTCTGCGCCGCTGTCAAGACTGCGGCAATTAAGCGGGGCGCCGATCTGCCGACCAAAGGAGGCGTCGAGGCTGACCAAGGAAGTGGCCGCCGCCGCCCTCGAGGAGCTCGCCTGTTTGGTCAAGCACAAGTGCTTCGAGCGCCATCCTCTCGATAGAACGCGGGGCGTCGGGGGCCCCAGGCGCGCGCTCGCACGAAAGCGCTGGAAGGCGTCGGGCGGCAAGGCGCGTCGGATTCACCCGGCGCCGCGGGGCGGCGAGGGGCTTCCGCGACGCGGGCGCCGGAGCCCTGGGAGCGTTCGCAGTTGCAGCGGAACGGGCATCCCAGTGAATTATGTCTGCAGCGGCGCCCCGTCGCTCGGTCGGACTGGGCGCGCGTCGCCGAGGGCTGGGGGGAAGCGTTTTTGCAGGGCGCAACCTGCGCCGAGATGCAGGAGCACCTGCCGCCCGGCAGTGCGGCCAAATCCGGTCCTGGGCTGCGAGGCTGGGCCCGGGCTGCAAGGGTGCGCCCAGGGCTCGAGGGTGTCTGCATGTTGCTTGTGGCGCGTCGGGCGTCGTGGCCCCCGCCCCCCCCCCCGCCCCTCGCGTCGCAGCGCCCCCCCCCCCCCGTCCGCTCCGGGCGCAGCCGCCGTGCGCGTCGGGATCCGCGTAGGTGTCCGCATAGGAATCCGCATGGGAGTCTGGTCCACAGTCGTCGTCGTCGTCGCCGTCGTCGTCATCATCTGGGGGGGGTGGGGGAGGGGGCCGATGACGTCGCGTTTGACGCCGCATCATTTGTGAATTCCTAGGAATGACGGCGGCGATCAGCACCGCAGCTCCTGTGTACACCACAGTGCTTCCGTGCGCCATAGCACCTGTGGTGTGCACCAGCGCTGCGTTGCGCGCGGATGCTGCGGCGTCGACGGGCGCCGTGGTGTTCGCAGGCGCTGCGGTGCACGCGCGCGTGGTGGTGTGCATAGGCGCCGCGTTGCGCGTGGTTGCTGCGGCGCACGCATTCGCTGTGGTGTACACTGGCGCCCTGGTTCACGCAAGCGCTGTGGTGTACGCAGACGCGGCGTTGCACGTGGCTGCTGCGGTGTACGCAGGCGCCTCGGTGCACGCGCGCGCTGTGGCGCGCGCGGCCATTGTGGTGCGCGCGGCGATGTGGGGCAGATCGCCACCTACATCCTGCTCGCGTTGCCGTCGTCGTCATCGTCGTCATCGCTCGCCGCTCGTCGCTCAGCGTCGTCGCGCGCGCGGGCGCGCCTGCGGCGCCGGGGCCGCGCGGCGGGGGGCGGGCCTTGCGTCGTGCCCCCCGCCGCCCCCCCCCCCCATGATGCCCGTCATCGCCGAGAATGCAGAAACGCTTTCCGCCGTGGAGTTCGCCCGGGCCGCGCGCCCAGAGGAGTGCTGCGCCGGGCCGACGCGGCGGGCCCCGGAGCTCGAGGTCATGCGCGAGGCGCCCGGCACCAATGGCGCCAGCGCCCCAGAGTTCGCGCTCGCGCTGTCCGCGCGCGCTGACGACCGCAAGTTCGCTGGGCGCAAGGAGCGCGTCGACCGCTCCATCGGCCGCGTCGCGAGTGTCTCCGGCAAAATGGAAGGCGATTGCGACGACTTCACCATCCGCGGTGCCCACTAGCACCGCAGCGCCGGCGGCGCTGTGACGCTCGACCACGGCGAGTACATCGACGCGCCGATCCCCGTCGCGCACGTCGACCTGGTCAAATCGAAGGCCGACGAGCCGGCCGGGGGTCCACTCCCGGACTGCTCTGTCTCCCTCCTCGGAGCAGCAGCTCATGCCGCGTTGTCTCCTGCGTCGTCGCGCTGCAACGGGCCGAGAACAAACTGCTCATTAGACGCATCATGCAGCTCCGCGCCGTGTTCCTAGCCGCGCAGAAGATCAAAGCGCGCGTCGTTGTCCCGGCCATAGAGTCTGCAGGCCAGATCTGCGCGCGCGGCGACGGTTCCCTAACAGGGCCGGGATGGGGGCAGGTTGCGGCGCGAGAGGCGCCGTGTGCATGCGTCTGGGCAAGCGCCTCAGCACTGGTTCAAAAAATCTGCCACCTGCTTGGCGCTGTGGGCCGATCGCGCAAACTCGTGTGTAGCTCATCATTCGGCTCTGAGCTGCTCGTTGCACGTGGAGCAACCGACGGTCCGCAGGCGCCCCCCGTCGCGCTCCGCGAGATGGCGCGCGGGCCCTTGTCGGCAGACGAGATCGGGGGGCCGAGGGGGGAGGGGGTGGGCGATGTTCTGGCCGAGCTGGTCCCGGACGGCGCGCCCGTCTCCTCCGCGCTGGCCATGGGCCGCGCGCGCCCGCCATCCATGGATTGCATGGCAGTCTGCCTATGGTGGCCAGCGGACCAGCTGCGCACCCGACAGCTATCCGACGCGCTGTGGTGCGACGCCCGTGTCATGAGGGCTGACACTATTGCGGGGCGCAGCGTCGGCCAGGAGCTCATCCTCGACGTCGCGGAAGGGAAGCTCGTCTACGTCCATTCCACGGTGGGGCTAAGCGAGGGGCGCAACGAGAAGGCCGTGCCGAGCTCCAGCCACAGCGACCTCGTCAAGGAGAAAGACGAGAGGTGACCGAACGCGACGTAGCGAAACGCCTCGCACGGGGCGAACTGCGTTCGCACATGCGACGCAGTTCGCCGCGAGAGGCTGCTCTCTTCAATTGTGTTCGAGATGCAGCAGGTGGGTGTCAGGCCGCTTGCGCTGTCAACTGTCTGCTGCTATTGTTGGAGAGGTCTTATGGCCAGCTTTGGCTAGTTCCATGGGCACTGATAGGGTAACTCCACCCTTCCCGCGGGCGCCGTGCAAAGTTTGGCGGTTGGCGCCGCGGGGGTCAATGTGCCCTGGGGCGGGGCGCAGCCCGCAATCGTCGGGAACTGCCGAAGCAGGTTTAATGCACCCCTATTGCACCGCGACTTTATGTGAGGATCCTGGTCAGTAGAAGGCACTCAGGCACTGTTGCTGTTTAGTCAGTCCGCGGTGCCGCGTTGACTATTTGCGTCCGCGCTGCCAGCGACGCACAACGGACCCGTTCGACCACCAGAATCCAACGGTCGGTTATCCGTGATGCAGGGTGTGTCAGGGCCTTGTTTTTTTCCGCAGCCGTTTGGCTCAAGGCATGCCTCCCGCGCCCGCCATAATTCCTTGCTGTGATACCTTGGCGTCGCTCTCGTGCATCGCTTGAAAACATCCAGTCCACGTGCCGCTTTACAGTCTTAGCCGTCGCCTCCTCCGCTCCTTTCCCTTTTTCGTAATTCCGCACTGTCGCACCTCGAGATTGGTCAACGGGGCTTGCCGGTCGGCTCGCCTGATCTTTCCTCACCACTCATGATCTTGAAACCTAGCAGTTGCAGCGGCCTCGCAGATGGGGAGCGGGTCGCTTTCAAAATGTGGCCTCTCGCCGTGGCGTCGCATGCAGGCGGGTGGCGCCGCGCACGCTCGTCTTAACACACGGCATGAGTTTCGCTGGCGGAGCGCGGTTCTTTTTCGGATTGTGGCTCCCGCCGTAGCGCCGCGTTCTCTCGTTTCAATTGTTTGCGGAACTTTCGCTGGTTTTTGATTATATTCATCGGGCCCTACTGAGATCATACCTTTCGCTCCTGCTGCCGCTCCGTCTTCCTCTTCGTCTTCCTTCTTTCTCTCTCTCGCTCTCTCTCTCTCTCGCCCTTTCTTTCTTCACTGACCGTTGAGCAAGACTGCGCCTTCTACCTTTTGCAGTTTTGCCAACCAGTGTTTTCTGCCTTATCGCCGTGGAAGTTTGGCTTTCAAGCTTGCACCACTTTCAAGGATGCTCATGGTCAGCGTCCCAGAAGTAATGTTTCAGCACGGTGTCGGGTTGACAGGGCGCAACCGTTGCGTTGGTTCGCGGTGTTGAATCCACAGGGATGGTATTCTGGCAAGATTCAGGATCGTCAAACCACAGCAGTAACGGTGATTCGTGGCGTTGACGTCCATGGAACGATTTTTTTCGGGAACAGTGCTGGAATTTCTAACCGTTGTTTTCCAACGGGGCACCTTTTTCAGTTAAAGTAATTTGTTGTAGGGTCGGCCTATGAACAGGGATTTTTGGAGGGAGGGTATTGTAATGTCGTTGGTGAACCTTGGGTTTGCAGTGGTCCTCATCCCTTTTTTTTGACGTTCGTCGGACATGCGAAACGTTGCTTGTTGCGTCCTGTCCTCCTCATCCTCCATGTCCTTTTCCCCCGATGGTGGCCGCGGTCGGCGCCGCAACGTGAACTGAAGACTGGATGACAGCCGCTAAATTGTGGTACAGATCCCTCCTCCTCTTCTTGTCCCAGTCCCCTTTTCCCATTCCCCTTCCCCTCTTCCCTCCTTCCTCCTCCCTCCTTTTTCCCCGCGTCCCTCTTCTCAGTCCCCTTTCCCTTTTCCTCTTCCCTCCTTCGTCCTCCCAGTCCCCTTTTCCTCTTCCCTGCTTCCCCTCTTCCCTTGACTCTGGCCCGTGGCAGCGACCAACGCCACAACGCGAGCCGGAGACTAAGGACAGCTCGCTCCATGGTGGTGGGGATCTAGACCCGGGTCTATGAGAACTGACGGCCCAAGCCCGATCATGCCGCCACCTTCCGACGTGAGACCTTCAGATGAAGGCATCGTGAGAACGGAACACGACGGACCGGCCATGTTGCCCCGTTTCGGGCGCTGGAAACCTCCATGATCGATCTGGCCTGAGGACTGCCGCGCAACGAGAGCTCTGGCTGTAATCTGCCCACGGCGCTGTGAGTTTGCCACGACTTCGGGTCTCCGGGTGCTGACCGAAGAGGGCGTGCCAGCAGCTTTGCAGGTCGTCGAGGCCCGTGACGGTGCGGGCGGACGTCCAGTCCGCGCCCCAGCAGGCCGTCACACGCGCGGAGACGGCGTGGCACACCCGGTGTCGTCGCCCGTTCTCTCCCGGAGGAACCTGGGTGCTGGCCTCGGAGGAGCAACCGTTGCGCAGGCCTCCCCCGTGCTAGGCACCGAGGCTAGATGTGCAGTGCAGCCTCTGTACTTTTATTGCGATGTGCAGCAATGCCTGCGGATGCGTTGCCTGCGTCTCCGTTTTTTTGTCTCTCTCTCTCTCTCTCTCTCCCGTCCGCCATCGACAACGGCGACAACGGTGGCAGCAGGGGGAGGAAAGCATGAGGAAAGTGGAGGAGAAGAAGAGGAACGGAGATGAGGACGTCCCAGGTCATCGAGCGATGTGTCCAGAACGGTTATCGCATAGAGCAGTGCGCGGTTGGCAAGCATAATGCAAGCCCCAGTCGAGGCGTGGGCCTCAATGAGTGGGTTCTTGTATTGTCCAAGTGCATTGTGTGAGGTGCACGACATGTGTTTCCATCGATGTGGATCTACTTGTGCGCTACCTATGTGTTGAAAGCAATGCCACGTAGGTGGCCGGGTCTAATCTACACGGTGCAGCTCATATTTGAAGACTCGTGACAACTCGCGCAATCATCCCACCCTTCCACCCGCAACTTGTTTGAAAAACCCATGCGGTCACCGCAGCGGTTGCCGATGGGCACGTGGTAGCGCATTTGTGCCGCAGCGCTTGCGCGCTAATGCTGAAGCGCAGGGCTTCCAGGTCCTTTGCCACAGTAAGTGCGGCCGTGATGGCGGTTCCTGGGGGAACTTCCAAGCGCGTCTCAAAGGCCGCGCTGGCGCGCGGGCCTTTTCAGTGCGGGTCGGTGACTACGGCGGGCGAGGTATCATGATGACGTCGACAACGGCGGCAACGACGATGACAGTACGGGGGTAGTGGCGATGATGACGAGGACGACGGCAAGGCCAATGATGGCGCCGATGCTGGTGACGACGATGACGATGATGATTTCAATATGTCGGTGGTGAAGGTGATGGTGCTGATGATGGCGGCAGTGGCAGCGATTGACGATGGCGATAACGATGACGGCGGTGACGCGATGGCGCTGATGACGGTGATGGTGGGGAAGTGTGCGCATGTAAGCGCCGGTCACCGCCTCCACAGCAGCGCGCCAGTGGCGCCGCCCGGCCAGCGTGCTCTGCTTTCCGCATGGCGATAGCGGGCCGCCTGGCGGCGACGTCTCTTGGGAGCCCCCAAGCGGTGTGGTGACCACACCGCGTGGTGAGCCAGTGGGGAGTCGGGGTCACCGCACGGTTTAGGGATTCGGGTCGTTCTCTGAGGACGTCTCGGGCGACCGGGGCCTCCGAGACCCCAAAACCGTGCGGCGACGGACCGCGCGGTGAGGTCTTCGGGGATTCCAAGTTCGCCGCGCGCTGAGTCACCACACGGTCTGGGGACCCCGAAGCCGCCGTCGACGAGCGACGCGCGGCGCGGCTAGCCCGCCCAGGGCCCTCGCTCCACAAGGGGGCGGGCCCGCCGCCGGCATTGCAAGCTCACTGCCGCCGCTGCGCGCGGGCTCCCAGACCTCGGGGGTTCCGCGGCAGCCCGCCCAGGCCCTCGCCCCGCGAGGGGGCGGAGCCGCCCGGGGCCTTGCGACCCTCAGGTGCGCCGTCGCCGCAGCACGCGGGCCGCAGACCTCCCGGGCGCCGCGGGCTCCTCGGGGCCGCGGAGCTCTCGACCCCCACGCCTCCGTCGCCGCGGGTCTCGTGGGCGGGGGGGCTTCTCAATCGATGCATCGGCGATGCGGCTCGATTTTCCGACCCCATCCATCCGGACTCCATGCGGGAAGCCAGGAACCACCGCGTCCACGAGTGAAGCCCTGTTCGGTGGCCAGCTCTTCAGCGGCGAGTTGACCGTCGCGCAGGAGTGTTGCTGCTGGGTGTCCCGGCGGCGGTTGGCCAGGCGCCAGGTGGCATGGTGTGGACGCTGACGATGTCCTTACACTTTTCCTTCAAACACGGCTGTCAGGTTAGCATCGGCAGTTGGGGCCCCCAACTGACGTGACCAGCGGGGCGGACGGAGGCATGTCGTCCGCCCACGGCGAACTACAGATGTCTTGGTGAAGGACCCAACCATATGCAAGTGCGAATGCCGCAAGGCAGGTTGGACGAAGGAAGATGGAGCTATGGGGCCACAAAACGTGTGAGGGGTGTGCCGAGATTGGCGGGGCGGCCCCATGCGACCCCCTGTCACGAGGGCCTTCGGTGGAGCTCCCGGTGGGCCCACGAAGCGCGTGAGGGTTGTGCCCAGATTGGCAGTGCGGCGCCGGCCTTCTGTGGAGCTCCCTATGGGGCCAAGAAACGCGTGAGTGGTATACCACAAGGGGCATGCTGCGGGCAGAGGCAATGATGGGGAGAAGGGGGGGGAGGAGGGCGGAGTGGGTGAGACGCAGGGCGCTGTCTGTTTAAAATTAGGACCCAGCACCACAGGATGGCTGGGAATGATGGCCCCTTGTCCCGAGGACGGTCCTGACCCGAATCGCGAGGCGAGGCCCGTCGTAATCGTCATCGTCGTCGTCGTCGTTGTCTCGTGGCGCCCATCGTTTGAGGGGCGCCGAACTCATGCGGGCACCATCCTGGAGCGCCGCTGCCTGCAGCCCCAATGCTTTCAGACGCCTTTGCGACCACAGCCGGCACGAGGGTTGAGAGCACCCCTGGCTCCTGAGGAGTGTCCTTGTGCCCTTCTTCTCTCTCATCGAGCGCCCGGTTTCCTCGAGAGCCTCTCGGCTCCCATTCCAGGTACCCTGGCAGGCTCGCACTGTGCAGCCCCTGGGCTGCCCCTTGGCACGGCTCCCCCCCGGAGCCTGCGCTGCAGCACCCGCGGAACGCTCTTTATGATTCGAGCGCCCTGCCCTGTGTCAGTCCCCCTTCCGCGGCCGCCTTCGATGACGATGTCGTCGTCGTCGTCGTCGTCGTCGTCGTCGTCGTCGTCGTCGTCGTCGCCGCCGGCGTCGGCGTCGGCGTCGTCGTCGTCGTCGTCATCTTCTCCCCACCTCCAAGGTGCTAACTCGCAGATGCGCAATTCGTTTAGTCTACCCCGCGCGGAGCAGCCGCCCGCGCCGCGACGGCTGATCTTGGCGAAGGACCCAACCATATGCAAATGTGAGTTTCGCAAGGCCGGTGGGACGCAGGAGAAAGATGTCCCCATACCGCTGTCCTTCCCTCGTTTTCCCTGTTTGGGGCCTTCAGGGGGGCCCTCGTCGCCACCGCTGGATTCGCCTCGAACTCCTGGTCAGGACGCACCCGGGAGAGATCCGGGGAGTAGCGGTATCGGCACCTTTGGGTTTCCCCAGGTGGGAGCCGCGAAGCTCATGTGGGCGCGGCGGCGCCACGCGAATACTGCCATTGTGGCCCTCGGTGGAGCTCCTTTCGGGGCCACGAAGTCTGTGAGGCGTGTGCTCAAGTTGGCGGGGCGGCGCCATGCGAACCCTGTCACTGGGATCCTTGGTGGAGCTCTCTATTGGGCCACGAAGCGTGTGAGGCGTTTGCTCAACTGTGCAGGGCGTCGCCATGCGAATCCTGCCACTGGGTCTCTCGGTGGAGCTCCCTTTGGCGCCACGAAAGGAGTGTGCTCAAATGAGCGGGACGGCGCAACGCGAATTCTGACACTGCGCCCTCGGTGGAACCCCCTCTGGGGCCACGAAACGTGTGAGCCGTTTGCTCAAATGGGGGGACCTCGGTGGAGCTCCCCATGGGGCCACGAAGTCTGTGAGGCGTGTGCTCGAATGGGCGGGGCGGCGCCATGCGAACCCTGCCACTGGGGCTCTCGGTCGAGCTCCCTGCGGGCCTGCGAAACGCGTGAGGGATGCCCAGACATTTTCGGGACGGCGCCATACGAACCCTGCCACTGGGGCCATCGGTGGAGCTTCCTATGGGGCCACGAAGCGTGTGGGAGGTGTGCCGAAACGGGCATGCGGCGGGCAGGGGCAAGGAGGAGAGGAGGGAGGAGTGGGAGGAGTAAGGAGGAGAGACGAGGGGCGGTGTCTCTTTAAATCGAGGGCCCAGCATCACAGGATGGCTGGGAATGATGGCCCCTTGGCCCTAGGATGGTCCAGGCGCGAATCACGAAGCGAGACCCGTCGTCATCGTCGTCGCCGTCGTCGTCGTCGCCGTCGTCGCCGTTGTCGTCGTCGTCGTCGTCGTCGTCCCGTGGCGCCCATCGTTCCAGGGGCGCTGGCTCTTCAAAGCGAGGCCCACTGCCGCGGGATGGCCGGGGAGACGTGCTTTGGGACCTCCACGTTGGAGTGCTCCTCGCGTGGGGTGTCTCCACCGGGACCTGAGCCTTCGGCGAGGGGCTCACGCTCTCGACCGACGCTCTTGCGGCCCTGGCGTGTCCCTCTGCAGGAGGAATTTTCAAACATAGTTTAAACGTTGTCAGGGGACGATGTTTCGATTTTTTTTTTTTTTCCCCCACATCCTGAGTGAGGTTCTTGTTTTCCCAGAACACCCTCTCCTTCTCCTCCTCCTCCCGCGTCCTTTTCTCAAACCATACCATACCAAGCCATACCATACCAATACCTTACTATACCAATACCATACCAAGCCATACCAAGCCATACCATATCAATACCATACCATACCATACCAATACCATACCATACCATACCATACCAAACCAATAACATCATACCAAGCCATACCAAGCCACCTGTTATTTCTCAGGTTTCGTGCC